TAAACGAAAAATTGTGATATAAAATCTAGAAAATGAAAATTAAAAAATCGGGAAAATGGTATAAAAAAAATGAAGAACTTGAAAGAACATCATTACGCCGAATATGTTCATTGCGCTACACATAACCTCAATTTAGTCCTTAATGATTCTGTTAAGAATGTACCAGGAATTTCCGCATTTTATGATTAAATACGTCTATTTCAGTGAGAGTTTACCGAGATGGGTTACAACTTAACATTGAGATGAAAGAAAATGATAAGTGTGTTATAAAAAAAACTTTTAAAAAGTTATGCCCCACCAGATGGTCATCGAGATTTGTTTCTATAATTAATCTCTCAACAGTTATGAGCTGAAATTATTTTAACATAAAAAAAAAGTGAAATAGATGAAGCTGTAGCTCTTCGTAAAAAAATGGATTCATTTGAATTTGTTGCTCTATTAGTATTTCAATGCAAAATTTTAGAAAATGTTAATTTGGTCTCAAAATCTTTACACAGTTCAAATATTACTTTAGATGAGGCTTGTAAATGGATGGAACATCTAAAAGACAAATTTCAAAGTATACGTGACAATTTTGAACAAATAATGGAGGAATGAAGGAAATGTGCTGATACCTGGAAAATTAACAATCTTTTTTTAAACGTATAAAAAAAGTAAAACTGTTTCATGACGAATTATGTGAAGATACCGTTTTCAAAGATCCCACTGAAAAATTTAAAACAACCGTTTTCTATCCTGCTCTTGATATCTTAAACATTCGCATTAAAGAGAGGTTTGAAAGCATGAAAAACGTCAGAAACTATTTTTCTTTTCTGGAACCACAGGAAATGTTGAGTAGTACAGATGAAGAATTTGTGGAGGCAGCATCAAAGTTGGCAAATAAATAAAAGAATATATTTTTAGTGCAATCTGTGGGCAAATCGTTAGTTTTAAAAACATTGTTTTTGATGAAATTATTTAGCAAAAAATAACTAAAACTACAGATATTGCTAAGTTTCTGTTTATGGACAATAATTTTTTAACGGCAGAAAGATCTTTTTCTAAATTAAAATTAATTAAATCGTATTTGCGAAGCACGATAAGTCAAACACGATTAACCGACTTAGCTGTGTTGAGCATTGAGTGTGATCGATCTCAAAAATTACATCTCGACAGTGTCATACGCGAATTTATGAACTCTCGACAACGTCGAATGAAGCCAGTATAATCAATTAACAATTTTTAAAAATTATTATGTGTATTAATTATTATTATTATTTGTAAATCTGTGTTATTCGGCGCCACTACTGGTAAACCAGTAATTTCATATTAATTTTATATTACTTTTTAAATTTGGTGTATGGGGGCGCTTACTATAAAACTGCAGGGGGGCACAGTGGAAGTTAGCTACGCCACTGATGACTACGTATACTAAGAAAAAGAAGTCCAAGTTTATATTTTCGATTTTTCGATTTCTCGGTTTTTCAATTTTTCGACTTTTTGATGTTTCGATTTCTCGATTTTTGTTCAATTCTTGCAATGTTTCTCAGATTTTTAGATTTTTCAATATTTCGTATTTTCTTTTACTTTTCTGGTTTTTCAAATTTACGATTTTTAAGTTTTAAATTTTCAATTTTTCGATTTTTTGACCTTTTTATTTCACGATTTTTCAATTTTTGGTGGTATTTGTCGCCTTTTTTGGTTGTATTTTTTTGTTGTATTTTTTTTTGCCACTTCTTGAACCTTTGTATCAGTTTTTGACCCCTCCCCCCCTTGTCGAGTATTTTTGTTCCTTTTTACTTCCCGAGCGTAAGCAAAGGAAGTATTGTAATCGAGTCCGTCGGCCGACTCTCTACTTTTACGTTTTCTCGATCTTTCATGACCCCTAGAAGACGAAGAAATAGGTCTCCCATTTCCGTCTGTCTGTCCGTCTGTCTGTCCGTCCGTCTGTCCGTCTGTTGTCCCGGATTTTTATTAGACAGATAATCTCCGAAAGTATTCGACCGATTGTTGTGAAATTTTGTACTTATATTAAGAATATCATGTAGATGGTAAAACGCTAATCAAAATTTGTCTAATCATCCCCACCACTAATGCGATGACGTCACTTCAAAATTGTACATAGTAAATGGGTTTTCAATTGTATAAAATAACATAGTCCTACACATGTAGTTTACAACTCTGAATCGACTTTTCACCCGAAACGTCCAGATTTTTGGAAAAAAAATCAAAATTATAAAACAACATTTTGAAATTTAATTTTTAATCTGCTAACCAGAATGCTTTGAAATGTTGCAGATGTTTTAAGGCTATAAAGAGCATCATAAATCTTTAGTCAAAAAATATTTGCTTATCCCCTCCAAAAACTTGATGACGTCAGCTCAAAAGTTTGTGGAATAAATCATATCTAGAATGTACAAAATATGATGAGTCTGTACTTGTGATCTATCACTCCATTCATATTTTTTGGATTTGCATATACAGGGTGACTCAAAAAAATTAATGAATGCGTAAATACATTTTATTGATTTAATCAGGAACTACAAAACCGAATGCTCTGAAATCTTGCAGATGTTTTAAGGTCATAAAGAGCATAATAAATGTTTAGTCAAAATATATTTGCTTATCCCCCCCAAAAATTTGATGACGTCAGCTCGAAAGTTTGCCGAATAAATCATATCTAAAATGTACAAAATATGATCAGTCTGTACTTGTGATCTATCACTCCATTTATATTTTTTGGATTTGCATATACAGGGTGATTCAAGAAAATAAATGAAAGCGTAAATTTATTTTACTGATTTACTCAGGAACTACAAAACCGAATGCTTCGAAATCTTGAAGATATTTTAAAATTATCATAAGCATGGTAAATTTTTGATCAAAACGTATTTGGTCGTCCCCCCTAAAAAATTTATGTCACCACAAAATTTTGCTGAAAAAATCGTATCTAAAATGTACAAAATATGGTGAGTCTCTTCTTGTGATTTATCATTCCATTCAAATTTTTTTCGATTTGCATATACAGGGTGACTCAAAAAAATTAATGAATGCGTAAATTTATTTTATTGATTTAATCAGGAACTACAAAACCGAATGCTTTGAAATCTTGCAGATGTATTAAGGTTATAAAGAGCATAATAAATTTTTAGTCAAAATATATTTGGTTATCTTCTACAAAAAACTGATGACGTCAGCTTAAAAGTTTTCCGAATAAATCGTATCTAAAATGTACAAAATATGATGAGTCTGTACTTGTGATTTATCATTCCATTCATATTTTTGGATTTACATATGCAGGGTGACTCAAAAAAATTAATGAAGGCGTGAATTTATTTTATCGATTTAATCAGGAATTACAAAACCGAATGCTTTGAAATCTTGGGAATATTTTAAAGTTATTATAAGCATGGTAAACTTTTGTTCAAAATGTATTTGTTCATCCCTCCTAAAAAAATTGATGACGTCACCCTTAAATTTTGCTGAATAAATCCTATCTAAAACGCAAAAAATATGATGAGTTTGTACTTGTGATTTATCATTCCATTCATGTTTTTTAGATTTTCTTAAGAGGTGGTTCAAAAAAATTAATGAAGTCAATTTATTTTATTGATTAAATTAAAGGCAACACTTATTATTAGTATTACACCCCAACCAACCCAATTTGGTAGACACAAAATTTGTTAAAGGAAAAACTCGGTTGAAACATAAGGGTAGCACGCTTATTTACATCGACTTTAACATTACAGACCTGCATTTGTTTTATGCGCTCACTTGGTTCCGCGAATGTGAAATAGACATGTTTATAATCAACCAATTGTGAATTTCACCGTCAAGAATTAAAATAAAACCCAATGTTTTATATAATAAGCGGAAGTCGAAGCAATAAAACCGATGGTCGTTTTGTTTACAGTTTCTCTGTTTGACTCTCACGTATGCTGTTACGCCTGTCATCTTAAATTAAGAATGTTTATACATACACGATTTTCAGTTGCCTCTGATACGTATACGTGAGTAAATTGTTTCGTTATTTTATTGATTATTACAAATCAATATTCAAAACGACCCAATTCATTTTCCCGAAAATTTGAGAATATAATAATTTTATTCTTAGTATTACACTACATCAATCCCAACTGATATACGTGTCCTTGCAAAAATGTTGATGACGTCATCGCAATTTTTTTTTAAATTCCTACTACAAAAATGTAATGAGAAAAAAACACAATAGGCATGCAGTCGTCAAGTTTCCGACAGCGAGGGAAGTACTGTCTAAACTCTTTAGACCAATTTTTTCACCTTGTTGCGTTTTTCGCCTTTATTTTTGCTGGATTTTTTAGTTGATTTTTTTGTCTCTTGTTATCCCTCTTTTCGACTTTTTTTTTACTTTTGTCGTCTTTTTTGGCTTTTTTGTGGCTTTGGTCTCCTTTTCCCCTCCTTTTTGACAACTTTTTTCTTTTTTTTATTGCTTTTTTTGTGAAATTTTTGACGTTTCTTTTGTCTCTTTTCTCCTTTGTTATCGATTTTTTGTGGCCTTTTTTCTTTTCTCTCTCCATTTTCCCGTGTTTTTATAACCCTCCCTCTCCAGCTTTTTTTTATGTTAAATATTTGCCAAAATCAGTTTTTTTCTAATTTCCAATCTGGTTTCGGTCCGCGCGACTCTTAAGAGTGACAGCAAAAAACGGCAGCGTTATTACGGATCTTAGTAAAAGGGCAACCCTTAATTCGCCGGTATCCCAGATCCCGACTGTTATTATTCAAGTATTTCGTTTCGCAAAAAATCGACGGATCGATGCCGTCTGGGATGCGGGGACGGTTAATGTTCCCGTGACATAAGAAAATTTTTACGATTTATGTGCTTGTAGTCTTCGGGAATTATCGTCGATATTCCGATAAAAATATTATTATTATTACTGTTATTAAATCTAAGTACAAGTCCGTACCCGATTTTTCCCCTAATGAACATGTCCCGTCCCGTCGATCGTGCGACTGTTTGCACTGACCGCCGCCAATTGTTGCAGGATGATGGCATTTATCCGCGTGATAGCACTGGCGCTAGCGCTGGCAGGCAGTTCATGGAGTTCCCATCCCTCCGAATCGGCCCGAAATCAATACGGAGCGCGCGAGGACAGGCCCCAACCCCAGCTGCTCACCGAAGCAACAGATCATCCTCCAGAAGTCCTCCCGTCGCAGCAGGCCGGCGTCGCCGCCTCCAAACAAGCCACCGCCGCCCCCGACTTGCAAGTGGGGTGCGGGGACGGCTTCATCCACGAGAACTCGCACAAGTCCGAAGTGGACAAAGCCCCCTCGAAGCCGAGACGCAAGCGGAGCTACACGCCCTGGTCGGGCCGGGTGGTGTATTCGGTGCCGTACCCGAGTATAAGTGTGTGGAGGCCGCCGGTGTACCAGTTACAGCGACCTTATTTTATACCCATTTATGGGTATGAGGGGAGAGTTCCGATTTACTACCCGCCGCAGCCGCTGCCTGTGAATCCGGGGGTGCCGAAGGACAATCCGCCCTTCAAAGGGCCTACGTACCTCCCGCCGACGGAGACGACTCCCAAGTTTACGGATAGGTTCAACGGGGGGGACAACGGAGATGATATGAATGTGTGGGACGCGGTGGATAACGGGGGGGTGACACAAAGACCTCCGCAGAGGGTCACGACTCAAGTGACTCCGACGAGAAGGACTAGACCTCCGGGTTTCCCTAAGACGCCGCCTTTGGTTCACAACCCGACGGACCCTGAGGGCTTCCCCGCCGCTAACGAAGGCGTGACGATGCCCCCGCCCACTCCACCGAGACCCACGAGACCCACAGCACCCACAAGACCCACTCAACCCGCGCCGCCCGAGCCCAGTAGGTGCGTCTGGGCCATCATCTCCTGCTGCTCCTCTTCGAACGACATCAGCTACGACTGCTTCGACCAGAGGGGTTGTCCTGGGGCTTTCTGGGACACCAACCCCTGCGACAGCGAGTTCTCCCGAGCCGCTATCGCCGCCGCTTTGAACTACTACAACAAGTAAAGTTCCTCGTAGAGTTCGGAAATTGTGATCTTGCTGTATACCAACGTAACGCGCATTTATGAACTAACTATACTTAACACACTTGTACAACTGGTCAGTATTACGATTTTGACGATTGGGGTGATCCGGACTGTGGGTCCAATTAAACGAAAATAAAACTCCATGTTAGTAGTAGGCGAAAGAGGAACGAAGTGGAGCTACCGCCATCTGTCGCACTTCCTGACAGCAGCCGCAGTGGTAATTAAATTTGCTGAATGTCGACTGAATGCTGAACGGAGTTTTATTTGAAAAGATGTTCGATGCTCGAATCAGGAAACCAATTTAAGGACCACGTCAATTTCCGTTTTATTAAAGTGTCGATGCTAATTGAACCAAAAACTACTTACGAACTCATCCGATAGATGTACTTAGTTAGGTTTACTGTACAAGTAATTTATTTTTATTAAGGAAATAAACTAAGACAGAATCGCCGTCCGTCTATTATTTACCTCGAACTGCCACTAGTGCTATTTTAATGACACTAAACCCGAATCGATGGCTTTTTTGTCGTCCCAGGAGCGGATTTCATGCGTCGAGTGTTTTGCATGAAAATATGAAATGTTCGCGTGTTCATGGTATAGGTGGCACAGATAAAGCACGTCAGATTATGCTCGAGTGATTTTTTTATTCGCGTCCCTGAAAATTTTTCATCTTCAATTGAATCGGGCCTTTCACAGTCCGTGAAATTTTTATTACTTGACATGAAAGGATGGATGGTACTCATTGCCCCGTTATAAATTTTTTGCAGGCAAGGGATTTAACCGACGTAATATTTATTATTAAAATCGACGGAAAAAAATTCGCCAGCAACAAGTTGCCGTGACATTTTCGAAACACGATTCGTCCATTTTTCATAAGGACGGTGTGTTGGCTTGATGGGGCAGAACTTTGCTTTAAACTTAGTTTCGGCTGCTTGACGGCCATTATTGATATATGGGGATGGGTAGTTTTTACTTTCGAGCGAAAACTAAGGAAGTATTGTAATAAGGAATATCGGACGAATGTTCACCTTCCTGTTTTCTCTCAACGTGTGCACTGTCCGGAAATAGAATCCAAATTTTATATACTTTTAAATGAAGTAAAATTTCCCATTCGCCTCTAGGATCACGGGACGCGAGATTTTTTTCAAAATCACTAATTTTATTTTATTTACTATTTCATTTTTTTCTAATAATGCATTTTTTTTTGTAAATTTTCGGACATAACTTTTTTTTCAAAATTCGAGGTAAAATTGGTGTGATATATTTTTCGCTTCGAATTAAGCTTTAGTTGGGGGAGACCAAAGAAAAAAAGAGTAAGTATAAATTATGCATTACCAACAGAGCAATCCCTGGAAAAATGAAGGTATGTAACGCCACAGTCGATTAGATTGTAAAAAAAAAAACAAAATCAATAAATAATGCAATATAGTTATGGAGGATATTGTACCTCAAATACCAGACGCAAGAAGTGCCTAAGATTCTTTACAACTACTTCAAAAATCAGACACAACGGGTCCCCAAGATTCTCTTTTAAAGCACTTCAAAAACAAAACAGAAGGGGTTTCTGAGATTTTTTCAAATTATTTCAAAATCTAGAAGCAAGGAGTCCCCGAGAGTCTTTAAAGATAATTAAAAGCTAGACGCAAATAGTCCCCCGAAATTCTCTCACATTACTTCATAAACTAGCCGTAAGGAGTCCCCGAGATTTTTTTAGAACTACTTCAAAAACCAGACACAAGGTGTCCCCGAAATTCCTTGAAACCTCTTCAAAATCAAACAAAAAGATCCCCGAGATTCTTTAAACCTACTTCAAAAACCGAACACAAAAGGTCCCCGAGAACCTTTCAAATCACTTCAAAAACAAAACAAAAAGGGTCTTCCAGATTCTTTGAAACCTTTTCAAAATCAAATAAAAGATCCCCGAGATTTTTTCAAACTACTTGAAACATTAGACGCAAGGAGTCCCCGAGATTCTTTAAACCTACTTCAAAACCAGACACAAAGGGTCCCTGAGAATGTTTAAAACTACTTTAGAAACCAGACACAAGGTGTCCCAGAGATTCTTTCAAACCTCTTCAAAATCAAACAAAATCATCCTCGAGATTCTTTAAACCTACTTCAAAAACCAGACACAAAGGGTCCCCGAGATTCCTTCAAACTACTTCAAAAACTAGAGACAAGGATTCCCTGATATTCTTTCAAAATTAATGCAAAAATTAGACGCAAGTATTCCCGGAGATTCTTTAAAATTACTTCAAAAACAAGGCAAAGAATCCCAAGATTGTTTCAAACTACTTCAAAAACTCGACGCAAATATTTCCCGAGATTCTTTAAAACTACTTTCAAAAACCAGAGACTCTTTTACACCACTTCAAAAACAAAATAAAGAGGGTCTCCGAGATTCTTACAAACTAATTTAAACACTAGACGGAAGTAGTCTCTGAGAATCTTTAAAATTACTTCAAAAACAAGGCAAGAAATTCCAAGATTCTTTCAAACTACTTCAAAAACTAGACGTAAATAGTTCCCGAGATTCTGTAAAACTACTTCGAAAACCAAAGACAATGGATCCCCGAGATTCTTTCAAATTATTTCAAAAACTAGAGGCAGGAGTCTCCAATTTTCTTTAAAACTACTTGAAAAACTAGATACAAGAGTAGTCACGGACTCTTTCAAACCACTTCAAAAACAAAACCAAAAAGGTCCCCGAGATTCTTTCAAATTACTTCAAAAATGAGACACAAAGATTTCCCGAGATTCTTTAAAACTAATTCAAAAATTAGACGCAAATAGTCCCCAAGATTCTTTATAAATTACTTTCAAAACAAGGCAAGGAATCCCAAGAGTCTTTGAAACTACTTCAAAACCTAGACGTAAATAGTTCCCGAGATTCTGTAAAACTACTTCAAAAACCAGAGACAAAGGGTCCCCGAGATTCTTTCAAACTACTTCAAAAACTAGACGCAGGAGTACCCAATTTTCTTTAAAACTACTTGAAAAACTAGACACAAAAGTAGTTACGGACTGTTTCAAACCACTTCAAAAACAAAACCAAAAAGGTCCCAGAGATTCTTTCAAACTACTTCAAAAACTAGACACAAAGATTTCCCGAGATTCTTTAAAACTAATTCAAAAATTAGACGCAAGTAGTCCCCGAGATTCTTTATAAATTACTTCCAAAACAAGGCAAGGAATCCCAAGAGCCTTTCAAACTACTTCAAAAACTAGACGCAAATAGTTACAGAGATTCTTTAAAAATTCTTCAAAAACCAAAGACAAAGGGTCCCCGAGATTCTTTCAAACCACATCAAAAAGAAAACAAAAAGATTCCCTAGATCCTTTCAAATTACTTCAAAAATTAGACTCAAGGAGTCCCCCAGATTTTTTAAAACTATGTACTTCAAAAACCAGACACGAGAATTTCACAAGATTCTTTCAAGCCACTTCAAAAACAAAATAAAAAGGTCTTCAAGATTCTTTCAAACTACTTCAAAAATTAGACGCAAATAGATCCCGAGGTTCTTTAAAAATACTTCAAAAACCAGAGACACGGAATCCCCGAGATTCTTTGAAATCTCTTCAAAATCAAACAAAAAGATCCAGGAGATTTTTTCAAACTACTTCAAAACCAGACATCAGGGGTCCCCGAGATTCTATAAAACCACTTCAAAAACCAGACACAAGGTGTCCCCGAGACTCTTTCACACCTCTTCAAAATCAAACAAAATCATCCTCGAGATTTTTTCAAACTACTTCAAAAACTAGACGCAAGGAGTCCCCGAGATTTTTTAAAACTACTTCAAAAACCATACACAAGGAGTCCCCGAGATTCTTTCAAACTACTTCAAAAACGAGACACAAAGATTTCCCGAGATTCTTTAAAACAAATTCAAAAATTAGACGCAAGTAGTCCCCGAGATTCTTTATAAATTACTTCCAAAACAAGGCAAGGAATCCCAAGAGTCTTTCAAAATACTTCAAAAACTATACGCAAATAGTTGCAGAGATTCTTTAAAAATTCTTCAAAAACCAAAGACAAAGGGTCCCCGAGATTCTTTCAAATCACATCAAAAACAAAACAAAAAGATCCCCTAGATCCTTTCAATTTACTTCAAAAATTAGACTCAAGGAGTCCCTGAGATTTTTTAGAACTATGTACTTCAAAAACCAGACACAAGAATTTCACACGATTCTTTCAAGCCACTTCAAAAACAAAATAAAAAGGTCTCCAAGATTCTTTCAAACTACTTCAAAAACTAGACGCAAATAGATCCCGAGATTCCTTAAAACTACTTCAAAAACCAGAGACAAGGAATCCCCGAGTTTCTTTGAAATCACTTCAAAATCAAACAAAAAGATCCCGGAGATTTTTTTCAAACTACTTCAAACACTAGACGCAAGGAGTTCCCGAGATTCTTTTAACCTACTTCAAAGCCAGACATCAGGGGTTCCCGAGATTCTTTAAAACCACTTCAAAAACCAGACAAAAGTGTCCCCGAGATTCTTTCACACCTCTTCAAAATCAAACAAAATCATCCTCGAGATTCTTTCAAACTACTTCAAAAACTAGACGCAAGGAGTCCCCGAGATTTTTTAAAACTACTTCAAAAACCATACACAAGGGATCTCCGAAAGGAAGAAAAAAAAAGAATAGTTTGAAAGGTCTTCCAGATTCTTTCAAACTATTTCAAAAACTAGACGCAAATAGATCCCGAGATTCTTTAAAACTACTTCAAAAATCAGAGACAAGGAATCCCCGAGATTCTTTGAAACTTCTTCAAAATCAAACAAAAAGATCCCCGAGATTTTTTCAAAGTACTTCAAACACTAGACGCAAGTACTCCGCGAGATCTTTAAACCTACTTCAAAACCAGACACAAGGGGTCCCGGAGATTCTTTAAAACTACTCCAAAAACCAGAGACAACGAATCCGCGAGATTCTTTGAAACCTCTTCAGAATCAAACAAAAAGATCCCCGAGATTCTTTAAACCTACTTCAAAAACCAGACACTTCAAAAATAAAACAAAAAGGGTCTCCGAGATTTCTTCAAACTACTTCAAAAACTAGACACAAGGGTTCCCCGATATTCTTTAAAATTAATTCAAAAATTAGACGGAAGTAGTTCCCGAGATTCTTTAAAATTACTTCAAAAACAAAGCAAGGAATCCCAAGATTCTTTCAAACTATTCCAAAAATTAGACGCAAATAGTTCCCGAGTTCTTTAAAACTACTTTCAAAAACCACAAACTCTTTCAAACCACTTCAAAAACAAAATAAAGAGGGTCTCCGAGATTCTTTCAAACTACTTCAAAAACTAGACGCAAGAAGTCCCCAAGATTCTTTAAACCTACTTAAAAAATCAGACACAAAGCGTCCCCGAGATCCTTTCAAACCACTTCAAAAACAAAACAAAAAGGGTTTCCGAGATTCTTTCAAACTACTTCAAAAA